AGTCCGAATTTTAAGAGGTACAACATTACATAGTTTTAGCCAGAACTACAGTTTGAATACGCCAACAGCCAACTGAGAAAAGCACAGACGAGGAGCTGCAACCAATGCACAGTTATCAAAACAATAGCCATTGTGGTCAAACAATACCTTATTGAGGTATGTTTGTTTGTAAGCGTGTTGTTTAACGCCGCACTCAGCAATATTCCAGCTATATGACGGCGGTCTGAAATAACCGAGTCTTGACCAGACAATCCGGTGATTGACACCATGCCCATCGATCCACGCATTTGGAATACGATGACATGCATCAACCAAGTTAGCGAGCCTGACCACCCGATCCCGTTAGTCGCCTCTTACGACAAGCACAGTCGCCTTTACAGCAAGCATGGGTTGCTGAAGACCTTGGATCTCCACGGTTATGGTAGTATATTAATTGAAACTGGATCCATGAAATTCGATTCGCGGACATTTCCCCTTGGGAGAGATCATCACTCCCTTCCCTCTTCTTTGTCCAAAAAGCGGACTGCAGACAGTAGACCTTGGGATAGAGCCACACACCCTCTTTTACCTGAGTTCTATCTTAAGATAGATTAACGCCCGCCCCCCCCCCCCCCCCTCTCACTCTCCCCCCCCCCCCCCCCCCCCCCCCCCCTCTCTCTCTCTCTCTCTCTCTGATCTCTCACTTACTTGTATGCATACTGTACACCACTATTAATTGCAGATTTCGTTGCACAAGGGAGGTTCTTGCCGGCGGATGTCACTTCTGTCCTACAGATGGTTATCGGAGATTTGCCGTCGCCGGCGGTGTCGTTAGGCATGATGAACTCGATGTCCATGACGGGGAGTAGGACGTTTCTGACTGTGGCTATTTCCAGGCCCACTTTACTGGCACTGCCGACATACACGTTCTCGCCCCCAGACGTGAACTCCATCTTCATCGTGGGGACGCTGTCGTTCTGAAACAAAAGGCCAGAACATGCGAATGAGTGAGTGAGCTAGGTTCAACAGCTTTACCGTTATATCACGGCGTGGCCGATTGAGAAACCATGTGTCGGTTACCACTTTTAGTGAGCGAATAGTGAGCGATGATACAGTACATCATGTAGGCCATTGACCCGTGTTCATCGTTCAAGAAATATCCACACTGGTTCAAGATACTATGCGGCAATACAAGAGGACAATCATGCCATTATGAGTGTCAGTGAGTTGGATTTAACGCCGCTTTTAACAGTATTCCAGTTATATCGCGGATTGTCAGTTTAATGTGGGAGGAAAGCTCGTAGTGATGCAGGTATCAGACGTTTACCACTTCGTGAAACCCACGAGCACGGGTATGGTGCTGACAAACCTGGAAACTTCATCGGGGAGAACCGGGATTCGAACCCACAATCATAGGTGGCGTTGCTGGTCGTGCCCAAGGGACGCAACTCTGGCACAGCGAATCGCGTGGCCTTAGACGACTGGGCCACCCGTGCCCCCCATGCCATTATGACATTATCTCTACCGTTGGGGCAGTCGGGTAGCCTAGTGGTTAAAGCGATCGTTCGACACGCTGAAGACCTGGGTTCGATTCAATACAGATGTATTGAATTCAAAGATAAGATGGCTAAACTACCCATCAACAGTTGTGTAATATGCGATTTTATTTTGAATATTTAAAAGTTATATTTAAAAAATCAGTACGGTTCATGTTTTAGAGATAATATAGCTGACTTAAGATATTTTCAATTGAAAATCAAACATATTATAAAATATGTAAACATGAGATGTATAGGTTCTTTTGCTTCTCAGTTTATAACGTTTTAAAAGACAATTGCAATAGAAACGATTTAACCCCTTTGCGGCTAGCCTACCCTTAAAGTGAAACCCCGTTAACCGGATGATCAGTCACATCGTGCAAACTCCCATATACACACATACACACAATAGTTATAATATGCATTTCGTGACTATACGATTCGTAATCCTTAAATTCGATGATCCGATACTTTGTTAATCCGGACGATTTCTCGGAGAATGGGTTTCACTGAGAATGGGGTTTCACTGTTCCGTGACGAGTGACCTACCGAGACGTCGCCAGCTGATGGGGAAGCCTCAACGTCAATGGCGACCGATCGGAGATGTAGTTGGACATCCTCCACATACAAAGCTATGTCGACGTTATGCGGAGCGCCTGTTGCAGAAATGTTTGTTGCCTTGACCAAGACTTGAAAAGTTATCTGATCGGATTCGGCAGTCGTGTTAATAGATGACCACGAGCCGACGTTGGTTACACGTTTCAAGTCCAAGACAGCAGAATCCACAACGGTGCCACCGGTTTTCCTGAAATGGTAATGCCAGTATGAGGAGTTATAGCTATATCGCTGGTTAGTCTGTCAAGGTTGGTTGGTTGGCTTGTTGTTTAACGCCGCACTCAGCAATATTCCAGCTATATGACGGCGGTCTGTAAATAATTGAGTCTGGACCAGACAATCCAGTGATTAATATCATGAGCATCGATCCACGCAATTGCGATCAATGACATGCATCAACCAAGTCAGCGAGCCTGACCACCCGATCCCGTTAGTCGCCTTTTACGGCAAGCATGAGTTGCTGAAGACCTACTCTACCCCGGAATCTTCACGGGTCTAGTCTGTGAAGGGCAAACTAGTGGTTGATATTACGAACAAAGAACACATCTGTCGAGGTATAGTTTTCACACCTTGCCTCCCACTTTATAATGGGGACACGGGTGGCGCAGTCGTCTAAGGTGCCGCAGTATGCTGTGCCGGGTACGCCAGAAACTTGTGATCGCGGTTGAATCCCGGTTCGCCCCGATCATGTTTCTAAGTTTTTCAGCTCCATACCCGTGCCCGTGGGTTTCACCGAAGTGGTAAACGTCTGAGACCTGCATCACTTCGGGTTTTCCTCCCACATTAAGCTGACACGCCGTGATATGACTGGAATACGGTGTAAAAGGGGCGTTGAACCCAATTCACTCACTTCTTAATAATAGTTTGTGGTTTAAAATACAGTATGACTTGATTAATAATTCACCCAATCTTGTGCTACTACTGCTACTACTAGTTACTACCACTACCACTTCTACCACTACTACTACCACTACTACTACTACCACCACGACCACTACTACTACTACTACTACTACTACTACCACTACCACTACCACTACTACTACCACTACCACTACTACTACACACCACCACCACCACCACTACTACTACTACTACTACTACTACTACTACTACTACTACTACAACTACTGCTACTCGGAGAAGAAGACGAGGACGGTATTGCAATAAATTATTAAAAACAACATTTAGTCTAACAGACATCACATATAGTTTACAAAATTCATGTAGAGCCAGCTTCTCTTTTTGTTTGGTAGGGGGCCTCCTACAGCTAGTTAAAAGAACACACCAATGATCATCGCGTGCCAAATGCCATGTATTCTATAGGAAAAAGGTCAGAACACGTCCTCTCTACAACTGACCATTTGTTTACCTGATTTTATACTCAGCCTCCAGGTTAAGGTCAACGCAAGGAAGGTGATTGCCTGCGGAGGACACGCGCACGTTGCACACCTGCAGGAGGCTGTTTTGGGAAGCATCAAGGGGCACTAGTACTTCAAGTTTGTAGGAATTAGTGGAAGATGCAGGTAGCTCTGCCGTAGCCTCAATGATGACGGGTTTGCTCTCGTGGGTCTTCTCCGTCACAGTTGCTGGCTGGGGGAAGGTAACTCCAGCCTTGATGGAGGAGCAAATAATAATAATATTTAAAAAATAAGATAATAATATATATTCTACCCCGGATCCGTTTTACACTTCTGTCTGAGCATTCAACTACTCCCAATCCGAGAGTAATCTTGGCTTGCACTAGGAGTTATCATACGAACTAGTTCCGTTCGCATGACACAAGGCTTGGCAGCCATCGTTACACTGTAGTAATGTTGAAAAGTCGTTTTTCACAAAAGTTACACACTCCAGCACGAGCATTGTGCTCACAAACCAAGGGTCTTAATCGGGTTAATCAGGGGATCCTGGTGAGCCAAAAGGACTCAACCGTCCTGGTTTTCACCTCTCCACTAGTAAAAGTTATAAAATATATTTGTAATTCGTGTAACATTCATTCTGTCGCATGTAGTTCTTGTAAAATGACGGCCGAAATGTTGAATCCACTTGACTTAAATTTGAATATAAATATGGACTTTTCAACATTACTACAGTGTAACGATGGCTGCCAAGCCTTGTTGTGTCATGCGAACGGAACTAGTTCGTATGATAACTCCTAGTGCAAGCCAATATTACTCTCGGATTGGGAGTAGTTAAATGCTCAGACAGAAGTGTAAAACGGACCCGTGAAGATCCGGGGGAGAATAATTCTTCAGCAACCCATGCTTGCCGAAAAAGGAGACTATGCTTGTCGTAAGAGGCGACTAACGGGATCGGGTGGTCAGGCTCGCTGACTTGGTTGATGCATGTCATCGATCCCAATTGCGTGGATCGATGATCATGATGTCAATCACTGGATCGTCTGGTCCAGACTCGATTATTTACTGACCGCCGTCATATAGCTGAAATATTGCTGAGTGCGGCGTTAACAAGAACAAACAAACAAGTATAAAACGTAAAATGCTTGTCTACGTACTGAGCTTTCCAGCGACTTTCGCGGTAGGGACGACCTTGATCTGCCCTGCCCAAATCTGGTCGGTTCCTATCTCCAGCGCCGCGCCCAGCCAGTACTCCTGTCCCACGAATGTATCGTCTTCGAACAGGTGAGCTACAAACTCGAGAGTCAGGCGGTTGTCGGTTTCTGAATTGCCAGGCTCCCTCATACCTGGAACAAAGATCGATTAGTTTGTTCATTCAGTGAGTGAGTTGGGTTGAACGCCAGTTTGAACCGTATGTCAGTTATATTACGACTTGTCGGGTAAAATGATCCACAGACTCGTAGTTATTTACGATATGATTTAGTAACACCCAACAGGCCCACTGCGGCAAATATAGGATTCGATCCTACGACATAGGTACCATGGTGAAAGGGAACGCAACAGCACAGTGATAAGCGCCATCTGAGATAACATTCCAAGTGGTTTACGGGCAATACAAGTATTATATACACTGGTAAAGGCTGAATACTGCCTACCATACGTTTCTACATAAAATAGTCATTTTACAATAATAATAATAATAATAATAATAATAATAATAATAATAATAATAATCCATATCCTAAGATATGCTGAAAGCGTTACAATGGGAGTAAAACTCAACAAATGAAGACCTCCAGTACTTGTGATCGTGGTTCGCCATCAACTCAAGACACACCAAGAACAAGACTGGACAAATGTCTAGTTAAGATAGTATGGATGGATGGATGGTTTGTTGTTTTACGCCGCACTCAGCAATATTCCAGCTATATGATGGAGGTCTGTAAATAATCGAGTCTGGACCAGACGATCCAGTGATTGACATCATAAGCATCGATCCACGCAATTGGGATCAATGACATGCTTCAGCCAAGTCAGCGAGCCTGACCACCCGACCCCGTTAGTCGCCTCTTACGACAAGCATAGTCGCCTTTTACGGCAAGCATGGGTTGCTGAGGACCTAGAGTTGAGATAGTGGAGAGTAAATGGGTGAGTTTTCAGTCAGGACTTGAAGATATTGAAGATCATGATGTTTGCGTGCAGAGTGTTCCATAGAACTAGGGAAGAGTGGGAAAATGATCAGTAGCCGATAGTAATAATGTCATGTCTCAATACAATGCAATCTCGAGAAAAATGTACCAACATTTCAGCAGGTGTCCGTAGTATCTTAGACATTTATAGAAAGAGGATATAAGGGATATTCATTTATCAACACAATAATAGCGTACGCGTCTCTGATAAAACTACTTCTGGTCACACCTTTATTGACGGCCTTTCCCAAGTCCAGGTGACCCCGAGCGTTGCCCTTGACATTGCCTTCAGTGTGAAGCGTGTGAGTCGGCTTTGTTATGTCGAAGCCGCAGTCGTAGTTGACGGCGACGTCCTTGCCCTTCACGGCACAGATGGACATGACGTTGCTGGTGTTGAGAGGGGCAAATGCGTCGAAGCTGAGGGTCACGGAAGGGTAGGGCATGTAAATGTCCACCGTGAACACGGCCGAACTTCCGACACTCATCTGAGCTGGCCCCGTGAAGTTGATGGTTGGGGTTGTTGAGAATGTCTGTGAAGAGAAACACAGTGGGTGAATGTTCCTTATCATCAAATTGGCAATAACACGACATTACGTCGGCCTTTAAATAACCGAGTTCACTGTTATACATGTGATTAGATCTAAACACAAACTTAAACACATTTCTTGTAATCCTGTAATTCCTGTAATCTTGCCGCGTTGGGGGCTTAAACATATTTGGGTTAGTGTTTAACATCTGAACGTGCTTTGCGTCAAGGGACCAACCATTTGATTTGTGGGTGTGGGAGTGTGTGTGTGTGTGTGTGTGTGTGTGTGTGTGTGTGTGTGTGTGTGTGTGTGTGTGTGTGTGTGTGTGTGGTGTGCGTTAATTATTTTGTATATTTTTATGTTAATTTTGTTCGTTCAGTGTACGTCCTGAAGGTATATGTGTTTTAAAATTTTATCATATTTGTTTGAATGCCTTATGATATGCACTTTATTTAAACATGTTCAGATTTTCAGGAAAATACATGATTATGTGGATTTTTTCGAAAACATATTTAAAGTGGAAATATGTTTTATCAACATTAAACTCTAAAGATGTGGATATTGTGTGGATATTGTGTTTTGGTAGTCGTTGGGCTGAAACGATAGCTCATTTCATTTGTTTAGATAGAACACACTAAATGTGTATTCCGTTTAGGATTTAAACACATTCCTGAACATATATTTAGATCTAAACATGTCTTGTTTGTGTTTACATTTTAAACACATTTTTTACAGTATACAGGCAAACAGACAAGTGGCTGATAGCAAGGCGTTGATCCAATCTACACAAACACACGCGCGCACCCACACACGCGCAGACAAACACACATGCACAAATTACCTCAGCATCATTAATGCAGACAAAGCTTGCTTGGCCGACCCACACGTCCGCTTCGTAGTTGTACTCGGCGCCGGCGCTCACCCAGTATGTGCTGCCGTTGTTGGTCACGGTGTCCAGCATTACCGCGTCGTAGTTGATGACGATCTGGTTGTGCTTCGGGTCTGAAGTGTCGGTCCCGTCGTTGGTCACGTTGCCAAGGTTGATGACGGCTCGATCATACTGAATGAGAGGCAGGAGTGAAAGAGTTGGGCTTGAGACCCCTATAAATTATGTGTTTCAGCTGTGTGTCAGTTCAGCAGGTGTTGAAAACCCAAAGTGGTGCAGTTCTCTCAAGTATTAGCTGCTTACCAGTTTGGTGCACGAGCATGGTGCTGACATCTTCCCGAGGCAAGAGAGTTAACTGACTTTAAAAGTCCAGTTTCCACCCTTGCCGAAGTAGGCTGGAATTCCACGGCTCGATCGTAGCGCCTCCACTGGTTATTACGAGTTATGTCCCTTCTAAACATCTCTTATGGACCAATCAGATTCCACCTCTCGTATCATTTGATTGAAACAAAATGGCGGCGCCCAGAAAAGACGATCTGTTCGATAATCAAGATCTATATTGTGATAAAACGGGTCTTACACCGCGAAGTGAAACAAATCACGTGAGCACGTGAAACGTCGGGTTTTCTTCCCAATATAATCAGACCTGCAGTGATGTCACTGAAATGTTGTGTATTAACAGCTTAAAACCTATGTAACACCGTAATACCAGCCTAGTTCGGCAAGGGTGGAACTTGCCTCGAGAACATGGGTGCTGAGGGTGAAAATTATTCTAGGATTCACCACACACACACTCGCTGTACCCCATGCCACCCACCCCGACCAGTTTGAACTTGCACAGCTAACAGATGCAACTCTGTACGATCTATTTTTCAGCGTCTTTTACAAGCCACAGTTAATCTCAGAGAGCAATACATCCCGAATTGTGTGACTTGAAAATGAATCCATAGGCTGCTCAATTGAAGTATCTGCCAGGTGTGTGAAGGGGCAATCTAGGTGCTCACAACCGCCCGCGGGGAGTCGGTGGGGACACAACAGACTAGGTCGGAACAAAAGCAACATTAACAAATATAGTGATTTGATTCTTATCGCTGAAGAAACTTTACCACAAGTGAGTATTAGAAGTGATACTCATCCCCATTCGTATATGCCGTGTACTTGGACATGAAGTAGTATTTTCTGATATCCTTCTGTATATTAGTATTTCTAGCACTTGACGGACGGAACTGGCTTCTGTGCAAAAACGGGCTTTGTAATAGCCCAGTAGTTCAAGCGTTCGCTCGTCACTAGGAAGACCCGATTTCGTTTCCCAAAATGGTTACAAAATTAAGCCAATTTCTGATGTCCACCCCGTAATATTACTGGAACATTGCTTAAAGCGGAGTAAAACCACACTCACTCTCTCTAAGCAAAAACACAACACGCAATAATACATAACTGAAGACAAACAACTGGGATGTAGGCTAGTTGAAAGTTCTGACTTACGTAGAGGTTATTTTCAATGCTGTAGTGCTCGGGTGTGGTTGTTCCGTCATGTGCAAGGTTCTTCCCAACCGATGCTACGTTTACCCCACAAAGCATCATGATGATGGACGCGTTATCCGGGGTGAACAGCTCCACCAACATGTCGGTTGTACCAGAGGGGAAGGTGATGGTCAGTTCAAAGGAAATCTTCTGGCCAACTTTCATGTCCGTTTTGTTTGTGTTGGGAGCCAACTTCACGAGGTCAAAGGTTACGTTTGCCGGGGGGTCTCCAGCGGCCTGAAGTTACAGTGGATAAAATGTTCATTGTATAAATATAGTATATATGTTACACCCAATCTGTGCAGCTGCACATTGCATGCGTTGGGAAGGTCGTTAGCCCAATACGTACAATGGGCAATACAGCTTGCCCAATGCAATGTGCAAACAATTATCTGCTCATTGCTCATGTTAGGGATCATAAAATATCTTTTACATATCGTACAGATTTAAAGAAGCTCAGTCTTCAATGCTAAAGGATTAGAGTTGTATTTGTTGACGTTCATCAGCTGATGAAGAAAGTGCCTCACTCGAGAAAATTCCATGATAAATTCATTGTAAATTTGCTCACGTGAGGCACTGTCTTCATCAGCTGATGAACGTCATCAAATACAACTTCAATCCTTATATTGACCGAAACATAAATAAAAAAAACCAATCCATAATACATCAAACTTTAATTATTTAAAGTGAACTATATCAAAGTGGAGAGTCGTGACGTCGTGACGTCGTGACGTCGTGACGTCATCTGTTCCAAACATTCCATTTGGAGTGACATCCCTTGGTTTTACAAACGGCAGAAAATGGCGGCTACGGCAATGTCATTCGCTTAAAATAAAGTTGCACCCAGTAAAGTTAGCGTAAAGAAAGCCAGACCCGGCTGATGCTGAAAATGGATTGATGTTAACGTTCTGTGAACTTGTGTGTGTTTGAATCATACTGCGGCTGCTGATGACGGGGATTACCGCTTGAGGCGGCGCGGTTGGATTTGCCGAAGCAATACACGACAGTGTGGAGCTCACTGATTTCTTTTGGTAAGTTGAGAATTCTTGGTTACGGCTTCTAATGGACACTTCATTTCGGTGACCCGACATGTACATGATCTGTCTGGCCTCAAAGCCTGTATCATTCATAGCCTGAATGGATGTCGCTCTCAGTTTTCCGTAATGATTATTAATGTTATTTTTAAACATTGAGGAATTCCCCTAAAGTATTTCTGTATTTATATTCCAAAACTGGCTCCCACAGGAGATATCACTTGGGTGAGATCAAGCGATATCTACACTGTGGATATTACTCCAATGAAATTGCAACACAATGCTTTGCAGACCATTGTGACGTCATTGTTACCATGACGTCACAATCAAATGATATCACTAATGGCTCCGCTACTGAAGCTGTTAGCAGTACTTTTTACACTTACGACACTGCTTATTACTGTCTACAAACTTAAAAAGTTGGAAGAATGATTTTGGATGATAAATAAGATCTCTCACTCGGGTGAGAATCTCTATGTCTCCACTCGATTGACAACGTAATCACGTGACATTCTGACGTTATTCGGGAAATGAGCGACAGTCAGCTTGGTAGTGTTCACCTAGGCGAGGTCACCCGCTACTGTCAATATAAAACAATATCCCCAAACTTCATGATACCTGACATATTTTGTTCAGTGTATATATTCTTTATTCCTCCATGGACATTGAAACACGATATGTTGAAGAGTTCACAAACTGAATCCTTTTGTTATTTATATGCATGTTAATATGTCATATTATGTGATATTCCTTCACCAGGCTTGTATATCACTTCGATTGGGGGAAAACCAACTTTTACTGCAACTTCTGCAAAGTTCTCTACTGGTTTTGGATTTACTGAACTTGGGCGCCTCCAGGACAGAAGACGGCAAACCAAGTCCATCTCCGGGTCTGTTATGGAGAGGCACGCTGACCCCCACTGGACCTGTGTCCGCATTGCTATACCACAGGTTGTCCTGCCCTGTCTTTGGACACATACAAGTTAATTTATTTTAATGGTATCTTTCGCAACTTTCTTCAAGTAGAACTGATCCCCATGGATGTGCCATGGGTGCAAGAGCTGTTCATGAATTGTTCAAAAATATGTTTAGATTCAATATGCTTTGTCAGGAACAAATCTGAGGGAAGTTGTTCAGCAGATAATTTGAGAGTGAGTATCTGAGGGATCTTAGCGCAACGACTGTCGTAAATTAAAGTATGGGAGTTACATTCACCTTGGCCCTAAGATCGCATTGTGGAACGGGGCCCATATATTTGTGGTGATTGGTTCTGCATTTTTCGTTTCAGAACTACAACTATTTTATGTTAACCACACTCAGACACAGTACACTGACTCCGTCCGGACTGTCCTTGCTTTAACCCTATACAACCGAGCGCCAGGCAGGGCAACATCAAGTACCCTCTCTTAACGTCTTTTGGCATGACGGGGCAGGAGATCGAACCCTCCGCTCCCCGACAGACTCTCTATTTTCACCCCTTGGAGGCGGCACAGTTATAGATCATCTAGAGATTGTCCAGGGAACAGGTTTATTATGATGGTAAAATTTGAGGCAAACGTCTTTTTCTCACAATTTTCTAGAACATAGGACTTTTTAAATCATACTTCCGCTGTGATAAGTATCTCACACATTTGGTGTCCCTTCAAGCCTGTGAGACTTTTAATATTTACACTGACACGCAATGAAAACGCAGAGAAGATGCTTTTTTCAAAGAGTTTCAGTATATGAAAACATAACACCCATCCCCACCCCCACCCCCACCCCCGTTGAAAACAAATACTTACTCTTCTTGATCTGTGGTGGTCGTAGCCGCTGTAGTCGTTATTGTTGTAGGCGTCGTTGGCCTCCCCGACTAGAGATTTGATGCTCAAGGTCATCTCGGCGGCGTCGGTGGCGTCGGTGGAGGTGTCGTCTTTGTTTTGGGCAGTGACGGTGACGGTGTAATGTTGACGCTTGAGCATTGAGGAGTCCGATACCCGAATGTCACCTGAGCTAGGATCAATCTTGAACGTTCCTGAATCGTCTTCAAGTGTGTACACAACGTTACCACAAGGGCAGTCGTCAGTAACACATTTAGATCTATCGTTCGCTGAGGCTCTGTATACAACGTCATTGCTCCCGACCATGTCAGCCGTTAACTCCGTCACTTGGTACGACATTTCAAAGTACGGCTTCGTTCTTGCTGTAAGTAGAAGCAGGCAAATTTAATAAACAATACTAAAGCAGTGCGTGTTTTAGTATAGCGCTAGTTAGAGGTCAAACCTCCCACATTTACACTGCAGTGTCACATAGTTCAAGAGTACCGCCTAAATGAACCATTTAGTAATCTGTCATAAAGTTCAAGAAACATACCGCCTACATTAACACTGTGTATCGCATAGTACAAGGAGCCATACCGACTAACTTATTATAAACGCTGCATTATCACATAGCGCAAGAAGCCATACCGACTAATTTTTTGTAAACGCTGCATTATCACATAGTGCAAGAAGCCATACCGACTAAATTATTATAAACGCTGCATTATCACATAGTGCAAGAAGCCATACCGACTAAATTATTATAAACGCTGCATTATCACATAGTGCAAGAAGCCATACCGACTAATTTTTTGTAAACGCTGCATTATCACATAGTGCAAGAAGTCATACCGGCTAAATTATTATAAACGCTGCATTATCACATAGTGCAAGAAGCTATACCGACTAAATTTTTGTAAACGCTGCATTATCACATAGTGCAAGAAGCCATACCGACTAAATTATTATTAACGCTGCATTATCACATAGTGCAGACCACTGTGGTAACACCTACCGTAGTTACTGCAACAAGGGCCGGTGTAGCATGCTTGACAGGACCCATCACTGTTGAATTTGGTGTCTACATTTGAGCTAAAAGGATCATATATAAAGCAATACATATCAATCATTATCTGGTAGGTGTAAGGGACTGACAATCTGGAGGGGTGGGAACAGGGAATGTTGAATATAAATTATGTACTGTTTCAGCTACCGCTACAAAACCAGACAATGTTTCATTTTAAACCATGATCCTGAATTTTTGAAAAGAAAAACAGCCTAAAGGTCCCACCCGACACGGGGAACGTTAAAACTCAATCAGAAAAATCACCGAAGAAGTTGGGAGGGAGAGAATTAATTAAACGTTATTTCGAACAAAAGCAAGAAGAGGGTGAACTTGAAAATGTTAGGTTTTGACCTTTTTTATTTCACACATCTAACTCCCTATCTAGCATAGCAAGGTTGATTGACACATACGTTCATGACAATAGCGAGCCAGTGAGTATAGTTTTATGCCGCTTTCAGCAATATTCCAGCAATATCACGGCGGGGGACGCCCAGAAATTGGCTTCACACATTGTACCCATGTCGGGAATCGAGCCCGAGTCTTCGGCGTGACGAGCGAACGCTTTAACCACTAGGCTACCCGACCGCCCCTTTCATGACAATATAACTAGATTGATGGGTTCAGTGACTTTCAAGGTCGTCAGTACACATATTTTTAAATTGCTTGGATTTCGGATTTGGAAAACAAAAAATATCTGGTTGGGTCTGAGGTCGACACAAGATAAATATTTTTATTATGATTTTAACCTTTGTGGACAACAAATCCACATTCTAATCTTATGTATGATGTTAGGGTCCCATTCTACCCTGAATGACAGTTATTATTATTTGTATTCGTTTCTTTGAGAACATTTCCCTGTAACTAGTCATATCTAATTTTTTTCCATATCCATACATTGTTTGTTTTCTTTGTTTGTTGTTTAACGCCACACTCAGCAATATTCCAGCGGCGGTCTGTAAATAATCGTGTCTGGACCAGACAATCCAGTGATTGACATCATGAACATCGATCCACGCAATTGGGATACGATGGCATGCATCAACCAAGTCAGCGAGCCTGACCACCCGATCCCGTTAGTCGCCTCTTACGACAGTCAAGCATAGTCGCCTTTTACGGCAAGCATGGGTTGCTGAAGACCTATTCTACCCCTGATCTTCACGGGTCTTCTGTTCTGTAAATCCCCCACTTGGTGCCAAATTACCAGCAACCTTGCAGTTACATAGTTAATGTGTAGTCAGCAATGAGATTGCAGATATGCAGAATGGCGCGACATTAAAAGTCCTGTATTAGGATATAACATAGTATTTAGCCAGCCTTGATTTATTCCTTGACATTTACTTCTCAAAAACACGCAAGCATGATATCCTCTTTATCATATAATGTCATACTTAGATTGCTCTTTATTACAGGGAAACTGATCTAGTGAAGGGACGTCAAGTCTATTTATACGCAGCCTGTCATTACGTTGTCATAACGTTACGAAATGGAGGCAGAGGTACCACAGGGCGACTAAATAACAAAGAGTAAAATATCCATATACAACTTTATTAATTTCGGGAAAACATGGAACTGATCCCCTAGCGTCCTTGCATAATTGCCTCGTAGTTCATACATCTCCAAGGTGAATTGGTTTCTGTTTGACCCTGATGTTCGGTTTCTTAGACTGTCATTTTGATTACGTTACTAAGTTGTCCAGATGCCTGATAGCCATTTTTGAGTCGAACGCCGATATATCAGGTGACGGATTGTTCGTTTGTAAACACTAAAAGTAGTACCTACATGTACCTGACCCTTTTAACACACATATCAACCCGTAAATACACCCAGGGATACCGGGAAACCTACTCTTTACATTTTTAACGCTGACATTCAGCTTCATCATTTGACGATAACCTTGGAGGGGGATGGGATGCACTGCCTTGCGCAAAGCAAATGATATTGTTTGTTGTTTAACGCCGCACACAACAATCCTCCGCTAAATGAATATACACATTATTTTTTCATTCACATTCATTCACATATGGATTGAAAAGAGTTATAGAACAACTAATACCTTTTTATTTTGGCTCATTAATCAATTCTTAAATTTACCCTTTACTTCTTGTCAACACATTTACCCTTTACTTCTTGTCAACACATTTACACTTTACTTCTTGCCAACACATTTACCCTTTACTTCTTGTCAACACATTTATCCTTTACTTCTTGGCAACACATTTACCCTTTACTTCTTGGCAACACATTTACCCTTTACTTCTTGTCAACACATTTACCCTTTACCTCTTGTCAACACATATACCCTTTACTTCTTGTCAACACATTTACCCTTTACTTCTTGGCAACACATTTACCCTTTACTTCTTGGCAACACATTTACCCTTTACTTCTTGGCAACACATTTACCCTTTACTTCTTGGCAACACATTTACCCTTTACTTCTTGTCAACACATTAGAACTGGAGATGCGACCCCTTAAAGAATTGTGAGACAATTTCACGGCCATGTGTTAATGGATATTAGCGTAAATATTGAATGTTGTACATACAAAACTAAACAATTTGCGTTTACGAGCAATTCTAACCCGGCATACCCACGGGGGAGAATGTCAAAGCGTCGCTTTGTTAAAACATGCATGGCACTAGTGGTTGTAAGTACTTAGGAAAATATATGAACTACCGCAGAAAAGAGAAAGTCAATATATCGTTTAACACAGATGGGCTGTATGTCTTGGTGTGGGTGACTTGTCTGATTTAATTTAGTACATTTCAGTTTTATCACGTTGGTCAGCTAAATGAGCTAGTGTAGATCGTAGAAGAAATTAATATCCATTTTGTTGAAACTCACGGGTACACAACATGTTGCATAGAGCCTATGATCACGTAATGTCTTACGATGTTTCAGTGCCATCAAGTAGTGACGAGCTAATAAAGATGTAGATGTAGGAAATTGTAGAGTGTATGCAAATTGTCTTTGCTGTTGTTCATGTGTCATGCAGCCATTTTGCCGAATATTTATATCGGTGACTGTTAACAGACATTATATTTGTTCTTAATAATTATTTTTTACAACACATTTAGCATACCAAAAATGGGCAACAGCAAAAATAAAATGGGGGGGGGGGGGGGGGGGGTGTCATATCTGAGGTATAATGATTTTTACCAGTAATTTATAAAAATAAGTCCCAAATACAACTTGTGAAAACACACAGGTTACAGACTATGAATGCGATAAATGATATTTAGAGAAAGTGAAGTTTCAAGCAAACAAAGTTGCACAATACATCTTGTCTTGGAGTTACATGATAATTCGAGGGGTTGAACAGGTCTTCAGCAACCCATGCTTGCCGTAAAAGGCGACTATGCTTGTCGTAAAAGGCGATTAACGGGATCTGGTGGTCAGACTCACTGACTTGGTTTATGCATGTCCTCGATCCCAATTGCGCTGATCGATGCTCATGATGTCAATCACTGGATTGTCTGGTGCAGACTCGATTATTTACAGACCGCCGTCATATGGCTCGAATATTGCTGAGTGTGGCGTTAAACAACAAACAAAACATGACAATTCGAGAAAAATTCGTTACAATGTGGAAAAGCAGTGTCATATGGATGTTCTTCGAAATACGTGATTGTTCGAGAAAGCTGCGTTATAAAGTATAGACGTGCATTCTGACAATAGTTGTATACCAAAAGGTGTAAAGATTACGTTGCTTACCATTCACTGCTGGAAGAACCTGCAAAACAACAAAAGTGCAAATGAAATCAATATGGAAAGTAACGAACAATAATGGGCTTGACATGCCAGGTTAGTAAAATTAAGATAAGTGCCAAGACTGTAACGGTTGGATGGCTTCTGTTCAGCGGTAATGGCACCAATAAATATTTCACTCTCGTTATTGGCTTAGTGGAAATTTGGGGTCATGATATTAACTGACATTAACGGCAGAATGATCTTTTGATTGGAATAGCCGCCGGTGCTGTCACATACACCAGAGTGTTTCTTTCACTTATTTCAAGGCATGAATGTGCAACTATTACAGAAAACGACCTTTCGCGATATTACTTGTTTATTTAGCTAGGGTTACTGTTTATTATGTAACCTTGTGAACTGGTGTGTGTGTGTGTGTGTGTGTGTGTGTGTGCGTGCGTGCGTGCGTGCGTGCGTGCGTGCGTGCGTGTGTGCGTGTGTGTGTGTGTGTGCGTGCGTGCGTGCGTGCGTGCTTGTGTGGGGGGGTGCGTGCGTGTGTGTGTGTGTGTGTGTGCGTGCGTGTGTGTGTGGGGGGGTGCGTGCGTGCGTGCGTGCGTGTGTGTGTGTGTGTGTGTGTGTGTGTGTGTGTGTGTGTGTGTGTGTGTGTGTGTGTGTGTGTGTGTGTGTGTGTGTGTGTGTGTGTCGCGTTAGGAACATTTCCTTTCACTGAACAGCCATTTTATATTCTGTGGGACTTGGTGGTATAAGACTGGTGCATTGATATGACTGAATGTGAATGTCTCACGTAACCAACAAACTAACAATATGCAACAACAGAATTGGTCTCTATAATGTTGTTCCTGAAAATAATTATTAAACGTCAATGCCAGCGATCAATCAACCTCGATCATCTGAAACAGATTCCACTGGACGCAAAAGGCGGTGAGGTGAAATCGGGTTTAACGTCACGTCAAAGATTATTACACTTATATAGCGACGTGCATGCACGTGTGATTGTGTGTATGTGTGATTGTGTGTGTGTGATTGTGTGTGTGTGATTGTGTGGTTGTGTGTGTGATTGTGTGTGTGTGTGATTGTGTGTGTGTGTGATTGTGTGTGTGTGTGATTGTGTGTGTGTGTGATTGTGTGTGTGTGTGTGATTGTGTGTGTGTGTGTGTGTGTGTGTGTGTGTGTGTGTGTGTGTGTGTGTGTGTGTGTGTCTGCTTGTACTAGTCTGGACTCATGCCGACTTAAAGTGCTAGCTCACTGAGATACCATGCCGCACTTTAACAAGAATACCCCACTCAGACACATTTTACTGACTTCGAGTCGACCAGTACATGTTTTAGCCCCTTAACGCCGAGCGCCGGACAGGGTAGCAACAAGTACCATTTTTTAACGTCTTTTGGTATGACGCGGCCGTGAATCGAACCCCGGACCTTCCGCTCTCCGTGCGTAAGCTGAACCAGTAGACCACTGAGGCGGGGTGAAAACCACATGAATGAACCACTGAAAATCATTGATAACACCAGGTGCTCGCAAAAAGATCAAGTATCCTGCCACACCGTCATCACCCGCCACTCACATAATTTGCTTAAAAAAGTTAGCCTTTGTGTGTTGCCTTACGCCGCACAGCATTTCCCCTGCCATTATATGTTTTACAACGGTGTATGTGCATTCAGAACAAACTAGGGACGAGGGTGAGATTATATATAAATACAGTAAACTACGGTTATAACGAACACGCTTATAACGAACTGACGGATATAACGAACTTACTTTTTGGGTCCCGACTATTTGCTGTAGTTATGCTGTATATATGCTTATAACGATCTACGGTTATAACGAACTAATATTAGTAGTCCCTTTGAGTTCGTTATAACCGTAATTTACTGTATTATGTTGGGGGTGTTTTAAGGGTAGGGTGGAGTATGTTGAGTGGTCCCGAGACGGGATGGAGGTCGGATGAAATAACCTTTTCAGAATGGCTTTTTTTAAAATGAAAAATAGATTACCATTATATATTTTAAAACATTACCCTGCGCACAACGAACATATATGTACAGTGGTCCCCACACTCATCATCATGATTTTATGCCTTTTAGGTAATAATAAAGAGAATTACCTTACTTCTTTCGATAAATAGCCCGAAAATAAACCACATGGGAAAAAACAAAGTTTCTTATGTTATAAATGTCTGCGTTAGCTCTACACCCACGTTAACTATGGAAACTGAACGGCTTTGTAACCCTTAAAAGTATTGATCATGAAGGGGTAGAGTGTGTATTATACTTGATACATATTGAACGTTTTCAAAGGATTGTAATTGCACAGTAGGGTAATGCCATACGAATGTAACACAACGGTTAAAGTGTAATAGATATCTTACACATTGATGCAGATTACCATCAATAGTTGGACATCATTGAGTACAAGTCGCAATGACAAGTCGTAATGTGCCCGTTAATGGTGAAATGCTGATAGAGAAGCTTGTTTCAGTTATACGGAAATTCGTTTATACGGACGAATTGTGAAATGACGCAAGTGTCCGTATAAACGACTGTATACGTCAATATCTGTTATCACCTGTCATATTACAAAGAACAGATCAAGCATTTTAATTACCGTGTTTATAAAAAACATGAACATAACACCACAGCGATTTCTAGTTACTGTCTTCATTCATTAAATGTCAGTGTCTAGTTGGGCGAATATTTGCGAGCCAATAATTAACGGTAACCTTTGCGATAGTGACCATATGCTGAATCAATAGTCCCACGGCACTGTAGCTCACCAGCAGTATATTGGATAACTCAATTGTTTCCAAAAGCAGTAACTTATGATAATTATCAGGTTTAATATCTAAACATAAGGTATCCATGGTGATGTATGTTTTCGTGAAAGTATACATCCGCTGTTAATTCAAAGACAAAAATACAAGTGTTTACTTTTATATAATTCATTCGTTCCTTTCCCGCGGACAACTCGAATACGATTTTCATATCAACTTCATATCATTAAAAGGAAGTATACACTAAGTCCTGAAAATTGGATTTGACCAAAACATTACAAATGTTATCAAAACGTTATCAGACTGACAACAGTCACAAAAAACACTGCAAACTTCAGGTCCAAAACACAACTATGATACCCGTATTAAATACATGGCCATCGAATAACTATTTCTTGTTTATTTCATCTTTAGCCACCATCAAACATGGTTGTATACTTATTTTGGCCGGCAGTTCAGGTATAACCTTTGAAGTTCATTCGCTGTGTCCCAACAGTGGGATAAGACTGGAAAGAAATGCACAAAGCATCCCTCGCGCTTCTGACTGATTATTGTTAAAGCATTGAACATAGGTACTTCATGGTGCTTGGTTCAAAATATATTCTGAGTAAACATCACCGTGAATAACATCGCCGAACAGGTCAACAAAAAAAAGCAACTAGTGATTACAAACACTCAGGAGATGACAAAGTGTTTGTTGTTTAACGCGGAACTCAGCAATATTCTAGCTAAATGACGGCGGTCTGTAAAATAATCGAGTCTGGACCAGACAATCCAATGATTGACTTCATGAGCATCGATCCACGCAATGGGGATCGATGACATGTATCAACCACGTCAGCGTGGATGACAAAGTGAATATGCTAAATCAAAGCATGGAAACTGCAAAATATACATTCAAACACCAAGTATCATAGATGAGCCTTTTTGTTCAGGCGAATATTACATTTATAAGTATTAATAATATTTTATTTTTTTAAAGAAAGTTCAGAACAATTAACAAGCTTATTGTCCAGCAATGACAGACATGACGTTAACAAGCGTGAATATTGCTTGACGTCGCATCAGCAATTTGCATCTATTGACATTGAATCTCTCACGGGGCTGTATTCAAGCTGAGCTATAGATTGTTTGACACGAAAATAATCAAACGAATAAAACTCTTTTCAGCACCCCACAAAACAATTACCCTTACAATTAGCCCGTTATATTTTCATTCCTCAAGGACCAGAGCAGCAAGCGGTTTTCTGATACCCGCACCTAATTTGACAATAATGACGCTGTTATCGGTAATCATATTGCTATATCAGGTTCATACTACGGGCGACGTTAAAAGAAAATCGATGTTACTAAGACCTTTAGAAAACACATTGATTCTAAACCGATATTGATTGCAAGGTGGCACTGCACTAGATCCATGATATTCAATTGACATGAAGAATGGACAATGTATTGGTTTCGTTATGATGTTCAATTAATAAGGGTACGCTAAGGGATCTATTTCGTTATGGACAACTCTTTTAAATTGGATTGGTCTACAGAGGAGAACAACAACAACCCCTGTCATAGACCCATGGCGATACAGGTCGATACCGTTCAGCCGTTGTCACAATTCAGGTGGCCCTCTAATGGAACTGACAGGAACTCTGTTGGATTTTAAAGAGATTGGAAAGGTTTGCCTCATTTTAATGGGGATTTCGATCATTTGGTATGACTGTTTATTGGGTTCCGTTCTCAGGTAATGGTTGCAGCTAAGTACAACCAATGACATTAAACTTGGGTTCCAGATCAAGTGAGTGAGTGAGTGAGTTTGGCTTAACGTATTTCAGTTATATCACGGCTTGTCAGTTTGATGTGGTGGAAAGCCTCGAGTGATGTAGGTCTTAGACGTTGGGCGAGATGCTCTGGTATGAAGATGACTAACCAAGAAACAAGCACGACAAATCTGTCATTCAAATCCAGGATCATAAGTTCCTGGCACGCCTAAGGGAAACAACTCTGGACAGCGAATTGCGGCGCCCAGGACGATTAGGGCACACGTGACCACCCCGATGAAGTGACAAGGTGCATGGGATGTAGATTGATTCGAGCGTGTGTGGTATAGAGACATAGATCCATAGTCCATATTGTAGCGCAGAACAAAATATGAATAATGTACGCGTCGTCGTGAAAACACCCTACGGTAATTTACAAAACGAGAGTACTCTCGGCCCATGAGGCTACAAGTCACTCTGCAAGATTGCTTCCGTCAAGTG